ACTTCTTTGAACCTAATGTTGTTGAAGATGCTCTCTATCAATTAAAAACAATCATTTATTTGGTAATTAAGGATGCGTATGAAAGTAAATTTCCCTGCAAAACTGAAGAGCTAGAATTTACTGAATCTGCTGAGCAATACTCTAGATATTATAGAGATGTTCCGCATTTAGATGTTCCTTGTTTTGATGATGATTTAGATTCAGAATTAAAGATTTCAGACAAGGATATTCTCAAATCTTTTGAAAAGCTATTCTCAAAGAAAGTATTTTACGGACCTATCCCAGATCCTTATTTAGTAAGAACTCAACAAGAAGATATTAATCAGATATTCGATTCGTCTGGAAGTATTCAAACATATTTTCATAATTATCCAACCATTCCACAGCAAGTTGACTTTTTTGAGCATATGAAGGCAATTGAATCGGGAATACCAAATAAGCCATCAAATTATGGGGGAAGGAAAATTGTCACTTTATCAGGGCCAACTAAGGTATATGATCAGAAGAGATATTCAGATAGTGATTCTGATAGAAACTCAGATGATACTGATTTAGACGAAGATGATAATGAAGATTTGGAATTTTCAGAAGAAGAATCAGATGAAGATACTAATGTAAAACCTAAAAAAGAACCAATTAGTGAGGACATGTTTATTGATGATTCGGAAAGTTTCAGTTTTGATTTGCAAAATCTTGGTGATACATTACCTGAACAATTAATGAAAGTTTCCATTCAGGTTCATGAAGAAGTTTATGGAATAGAGAAAGTCCATGATGAAAAGCTCTATTTGAAGAATTGGTATGGAAATAGTTCATTCTTTTTTGTAAATTGTTCCACGAATTTAGAGAATCCTGAACAGAAGAACTCTGAAAAAGAAGACAATGCAGAAGAATTTAACAGAACAGAGAAGGAGCAAATAGAGATGGACATGAAGGAAGATTTTGCATATTTTGGTTACGCTCTTTATGAAGACGATTTTAATGAGTTTCCAATACTGGATAATGATGAAGACGATTCTTTGGAACAATTGGAACAAGCAACAGAGGAAATATCTCTCCATTATCACTTACGAAGATTATTAAGGGAGCGTTCTTATGAATGCATTACAAATTACTTTCTGAAATTGTCAAAACCAACAAGTGCTGATTAAATCCACAAATATAGAGCGAGGAGACCATTCAGTAATCTTAATTTATTTTGTAAACCACTCCGCTTTGTTACTCCTCAAAAACTCCCTTCAAAGTCCGTAGAAA